TTTTTTTGCAAATTTGCATTATAATATTTATTTTCGTTTTTCCTGCAGTGTATAAAAATTGGTGTATTTCAAAAATAAAACTATAAAGACACTCAAAATAAATTGTCTGTGATGGGAAAACAATTTGTGCAACTTTTTTGTATTTACAGTTTTGAGGAATAAACCTCTTAAATTTCTCTAACTACAAATATATGTTAAAAAAAAAAAAACGATTTTCAATTTTTTTGTAGGTAATTGCTTTTTTGCAATTTATGTAATTACTATGCACTTAAATGGTAAATGGCTTGTATTTGTATAGCGCTTTCCTAGTCGTAAGGACCCCAAAGCACTTTACACATCCAGTTATCCACCCATTCACACACACATTCACACACTGGTGATGGCAAGCTACGTTGTAGCCACAGTCACTGGCCTCTTTCAGTGCGCCCCGAACCGGCAGCCTTCTGATTACAAGGCAAACTCCCAACTCTTGAGCCACGATCACACATAAAATAAGTTTAAGTTAGATATATATTTCGATATTGAGTTTGGCTTTTTTTCCTCTGGCAGCAGGGAGTATGGAGGGGAATTATTGTTCTTTAGGGTTTCTTTTTCTTCTCTTTTTACCTGTCAGTTACTCTAGCTCGGTTTCACAAGACCCAGTGTTTTTCCCTTTCCTGATTCACTTATGTGATTCACTATATGAGGTTAGCCAAATTTTATGCAAGTCTTTTATAAGGTTTTTCTATTTATTTTCCATATGGGTAAGGGGTTATTAGGAGTTGCTTTTGTTTTCTTCTTTTTTTCTTGTTATGTAAGGTTTTTGTTTTTGTTGCCTATTTTTTTTCTCTTCTTTCTCTTTCTTTTTTGTTTTCATAATTTAACTAAACTTCAATTCAATTCAATTTTATTTATATAGCGCCAAATCACAACAAAAGTCGCCTCAAGGCGCTTCATAGGTAAACTCACCTACATTCTCTCTTATGGAAATATATATATATATGCCCTTGTGTAGTTGTGAACCCCAGAAATGATGTTTTACACAGCATGTTATAATTTTTTTTTTTTTATGTTGATATAACGGACCTTAAAATAATTTTCTTAAATGTTAAAATCACCTGTCCAAATCATGGACAAACAGCATCCCACAATTTTTTTCTGCAGTATATAAAAATTTGTTTTTTTTTGAACCCATTTTGCACAGAGAGGCCTTTTTTAGAAAAATGTATTGATAGCAGTGCTGAATATTATTACACAGGAAAAAAAAACAACTACATGTAAAATAATTACACCATGACACCTCTACCTTTCTAAATGGAGTGACAGTAACTGCGTGTGTATATGTAAGCATGTAAAACCTGAAGATAATCAGATTAACAGTATTTTGTCTCTATCCGCCATTGTAGAAATTCATTTCATGTAAACAATAATGTGACGTGAAAAAAGGCACATACCTTTAATGTTGTGTGATGAACTCTGTATTCCTCATCCACACTTAAATGCAAAAACTGAGTTTTCAAAAATCTATTTTTTTGGTGATTCGAAACCCCGTTTACATGTGGATGAAAGGTCCAAACGCATAGAAAAAGCTCAATTTTCAAAAATACCCATGTAGGTGTGGACATAGCGTAAAAGAGTTAGTAGTTTATTTTTTTGCTATCTGTAATTTATTGCAGTTTACTTTTATTTGCTTTTTGTCTGTCTACTAAATGTTTGAGGTGTGAAATAAACTGCAATGGAGTTGAGTTTACCTACCCCCTGCCTGAGGAGGGGGTAGGTGGTGGTTTGTTTTTTTGTAAAACAAAGGGGCCTAGCATAAAAAGTTTGAAAACCACTGCTCTAAGCTATTAGTGACGAGACTGGAGGGCATTCTCCCCTTACCCTATAAACCCTGATCAAACAGGTTTAATTTAAAACCAGTTTTCATCTACAAATATCAGGCGATTGTTAAATGTTACACAACATTCAAATCAGACAAATTATAAAGCCTATGTCAAATCTTTAGATGCCGAAAAGGCATTTGACAGAATCGAGTGGACATACTTATTTTACATATTAGGAAGATTTGGCTTAGGACTTTATTGGATCGATAAAAACTATTTATGATCTCCCAGAAGTTTGTCTTATTACACATGATGTACAATCACCAGCCTTCCCACTGCAAAGCGGTACGAGGCAAGACTGTCCTCTGCCCCTCCTCCTTTTTTGCACTAGCACTTGAACTGACATTCAGCAGTATCAAGATGTGCATGATATAACAATGGGTGGAACAATCCATAAAATAGCATTGTATGCAGATGATATTCTTTTGGGGCGATCGTGGATCAAGAGTTGGCTGTTCACCTTATAATCGGAAGGTTGCCAGGCAAGACCCCAGGTGCAGGCTGTGTAAAGATGCCCCTGAGATAATCCAGCACATAACAGCAGGGTGCAAGATGCTAGCAGGCAAGTCATACATGGAACGCATAACCAAGTTGCTGGCATAGTATACAGAAACATCTGTGCTGAATATGGCCTGGAAGTCCCGAGGTGAAAATGGGAGATGCACCCCAAGGGTGGTGGAGAATGACCGAGCTATGATCCTGTGGGACATCCAGATACAGACAGACAAAATGCTGGTGGCTAACCAACCGGACATAGTGGTGGTAGACAAACAGAAGAAGACGGCCGTAGTGATTGATGAAGCGGTTCCAAATGACAGCAACATCAAGAAGAAGGTTCACAAGAAGCTGTAAAAATACCAAGGGCTCAGAGAAGAGCTTGAGAAGATGTGGAGGGTGAAGGTAACGGTGGTCCCAGTGGTAATCGGAGCACTAGGTGCGGTGACTCCCAAGCTAGGTGAGTGGCTCCAGCAGATCCCAGGAACAACTTGGAGATCGTTGATTGTTGGGTTATTCTCTGTGTCTATAATACATTTGGTGCTATATAAATAAAATTGAATTGAATTGAAAAAAATCTCTGTCCAGAAGAGCACAGTCCAAGGAACAACTAAGATGCTGTGCAGGACCCTCAAGCTCCCAGGGCTCTGGTAGAGGATCCGAGCTTGAAGGATAGACTGCCCGGAAGGGGGAGCGGAGAATTTATTGTTAATATGGATTTTAAAAGTGACTTTCGAAATGATATTTCTTTTAAAATCAATTTTTGATTTGAAGTATTTATTGATGGATAAATAATTGATAATATGGATGGATAAATAATTGCTTTATGATTGTTCTTTTTTAATTTTAAATTGAATGATCGTATAATGAATTACTCTACTACTGTCTGAATGAATAAAAAAAGAAATCATTAGTAAATTAATTTATTAATGAATATTAATTTTGCACAATTCATTACTGAACCAGAAAAGTTGATTTTGATGTGTTTTCGTGTTTAAATCTTCAGCAGATTTTCTGTAAACTGCCTATGTTAAATTTGAGGGGTTTGCTTCACATTTAAATTGACTATGTAACTGCCTACACTAAGGCTACGTTCACACTGCAGGTCTTAATGCTCAATTCGGATTTTTTGATCAAATCCGATTTTTTTTGTCTGCTTGTTCACACTACAAATAAAATGCGACAGCAAACGCGCTCTAGTGTGAACCCTCAAAGCGGCCCGCATGCGCAAAAGAAGACGTCACACACAACACGCTCTGTTTAGACCCAGAGCAAACAATATTGTTTGACTGATGGCCTTAATATAAACGTACTTTACGTTTCCCAATTTTTGCTTCAAGTTATTTTGTTATTTATATAACAATGTGAATAACCTAATAATGATCCTTATTGCTGTTTTAGAGCAGCGCTGCTTCAAAGGATAGTTGCAGATTTCTGTCAGAATCTGCAGATTATACAGTACAAATAAAATGTTCACGTTTCTCCAACGTTGTCTTCCCAGCAGTTTCACTAACATCTACACTGGATGGCCAGGAAGTTTTCGCATTGTCTTCTCGGACGCTTCTCCGGAGCTGATAATTGGCGTCTGTCTTTTGTCAGTGATGTAAAAGACGCATTTAATGCGACATGACCATTCAAACAGCAGTCGCTTTCTAAAACATCGTGTACGTATCCGATTCAGTACCACATACAAAAGTGACCCAGATTGGATTTGAAAATATCAGATTTGTGCCGTTCACACTGTCATACAATGATCGGATATGGGTCGCATAGGGTAAAAAAAAAAAAACAATCGGATTTGATGTGCTTTTGCCTGCAGTGTGAACGTAGCCTAATACTACAGCAGCCAGAGAAATACCAGATTGAAACAAGAGCTCTGATTGGTCACTTTCATGTGTTGAGACCTTAGTGACATTACTTCAGACTGTTAAACTCTTACCTTCTGATAAAACTGTATGGACTGGTTTTTCTTGTTTCTCCACAACGTGTGAAGGTTTATCTGTTGGAGGAAATCAGAAATCATGAACAGGTCTTTGTAAATGTTTTCATTTTTCATGATTCATGCACGATTTTTATTTATCTGTGAGTGTGTGTGTGTGATACAAGATATGCTAAATTTTATAGAGACACAATAGCAAGGTGTAAAAAGAATAGAATAGAGATTCAGTTCATAAATATACTTTATGAAAATCATTTCTCATGTTATCTGTACACCACACCAAGTGTTTCATGTTATTTCTTTGACTGACTTGTACGAGTCTTGACTTTGTCCAAAATCTTTTTTGTGACTCCCACAGCATTTTCAGGTTTGTATTTATTGATCATCAAATTCACGATTTCCAGTTTATCAGCTGTCTGAAGATCACTCTTTGGGATGGCTGGTAAACCATCCAGTGTCTCAGGTTTCTGTAGATACCACTTAAAGAGCTTCAGTTCCTTCTCTGTCAAATCCCCAAGTGTTTCCAGAAGCTCTGTCTGCAGACATTCCTTCATCTTTGCTCTGTAACAACACAAGAGTACAAATCTGAAGAAACTGGAAAGATCAGAGTCAGAGTGTTTTAAAGTTTAAGAAACCAGTGTGTTTGTTTAATCAGGATCCCCATTAACATAAGCCTTAGCTTTATTAATCCTGTGGTTCACTCAATCCAACACCACAACAAAAAACAAGCAGATTCTTAACAAACAGATAGCAATTCATTTCATATCACATGAAATATATTCCAGCCCTAACTACAGTGGCTTGCAAAAGTATTCGGCCCACTTGAACTTTTCCACATTTTGTCACATTACAGCCACAAACAT